TGCTTGTTGGTTTGTTTTTTAGAAATTAGGTAGAAAAAGCATTAGAGAAGAGTCGTTGTCACAGTAACTGAATTGGGATCTGCTTAGACATGGGGAATGGGAGAGGAGTGCTGAGTCCTGAATTCGCCAGAGGCAAAAGCACAGGAACATTAAGCCTAAAAGTGTACAAGTAGAAAAAAAAACACACCAAACACTGCCATCAAGTCAGTGCTGACATAGAGCCACCCCCTGTGGGTTTCTGAGACACCCACTGTTTACAGGAGTAGAAAGTCAGACTTCCTCGCTCAAAGCTAGTTGCTGGTGGTTTCGAACCACTGGCCATTAGAATCTCAGCCAAATGCTTAACCACTATACCACCAGGGTAGAAAAGGTAAGTAGAAAAGACAAGCATACAAACAAACAAACACACATCACAGGGGAATCAGCCTTTTAGAAATTCCACTTAATTTCTTGTAAGGAGCACAGGAGAGGAAATCATAATACAACTTGCAGCCTGGCATTCCTGTGAGTGCTCACTTTCCATCCTGTGGCAAACACATTCTTCTGGAATACCACGAAGGAACAATGCCCTTTTGCCAACCAGCTGATTCATGGTGGGGACACTTCACTCCCTACATCTGCTCCCCATCATCACGTCTGGACAAGTCGCTGTGTTTTGATTCTTTAAACCATGATGAGTGCCGCTCTTTTTTGAGGGAAGCCTACTGAAAACTCTGGGGATTTCCTGGAGAACCCACTTATTTAAACTAAAAATTTCTCTCAATGGACCTCCCTGACTGTGGGATAGGCTAGTGTAGGTGGATCTGCATGCACCCCAAACCCAAACTCCCTGCCATTGAGTTCATCCCCAGGCATAGGGACCCTCCAAGGCAGAGGAGAACTGCCCCTGGGAGTTTCTGTGAGTGGAACTTTTGATGGGAGTAGAGAGCCCTGTCAAGCCCTCCAGGCACAGTGGCCTGTTTTGACCACTGCTCTCAGAGATGTGCAGTTCGGCATCACTTCCTAGGAAGAGTTAGTCTTTACAAAGCTGGATTGTGGTCTAATAATCTGCCCTATATATGCATACTTTCCTTTTCTCAATATTATATATGCTACACCATTGGTTAATTAATGATTCTGTCAAAGAATTTACCATATGCCCCAAGAGGATGGCTAAAAATGTTTTCCAGTAAGCTTATATCTCTAAAGTTAACTTTAAAAAAAAGTAAAAAAATAAAGTTAACTGTAGATACATGGATTTTGAGCTAGAATTTTATCATAGCCCTAATCTAAGAAGTTTAGTTCTTTTTTTTTTAAGAACAGTTAGTTCTTATGACTTGATACTCACCCGTATGTAGAATTCCGATACTGGCAGGTATCGGAAATAATAGTGTCTGAAGTCTTAAAGTTTTGTTTTAAAACAAGCAGCTACTTAAGTGTGCCATCAATTGAGTCCACATAGAAGCAGCACACCACCCTTTGTGATCCAAGGATTATAAATAATAAGATCTAAGTCTGGAGGAAGGAATAGTATTAGAGCTTCAATTGTGAACACTCGGTCTGAAGAAGGCTATGAGTGACAGTAACACAGATACAGCACTGGACAGAGCAAGCCGGAGGATAACAAAACATGGAATATCAGCAACCAAAAGACTGTGCCGTGTGCACAAATGAAGCACTTGTAGGTAATAATTATACGAGCATTAAAACAAGAAAAGGGATAAGGGAGGGAGGTATAGAGAGAATGGAGAATAATACTATGGGGAGTACAGGAGAGGCTCACACTAAGTGAAGAATCTAAACTGCTCAGCCACAGGAATAAACTAATTAAGAGGGATCACTGGGTCCATAATTAGGTGAAATTAGAGCCTCATAATGAATGACTTTTGGCAAGTTTCTGAGTTTTAATTTTATTTGAAAAATTAGGTGAAATTAGAGCCTCATAATGAATGACTTTTGGCAAGTTTCTGAGTTTTAATTGTATTTGAAAAACTGACATAATAGTTGCTATGTTATACAGCTGATGGAAATATCAAATGAGAGATTTCCTATCAACATACTTAGTAAAATGCCCAGGATATAGCTGCCTTAACACAATGACAATTATTATTTGAGAAAGTCTGTAATTCTCATTTGTAGTGTGGCATCCATTTTCAGCTAATCCTTTTGCTATCTTCATGAAATATTCCAGTTGTAAAACTTCCAGGGAGATCCCCAGAACAGGATGTACTTGGTTTAATACCTGAGGGTCTTAAGGCAGTCGTAGTCAATGATATTTCTGTAATAATGGAAATGTTCTATATCTGTACTGTCCAGTAGCCCCTGGCCACAAGTGTCTATTGGGCTCTTGAAGATGCAGTCCAACATACAGTGTAATGGGCTAGATTGGAGACGAGTGTTGACCTGGAAGACAGTAAGGAGTCTATAAGACAAAGACAAATCAAGGAGTGGGCAAAGGAAAACTACTGGGGAGTTTTAGCCATAGTTTAAACTGTTGAATACAAATTTGATGAACTGAAATGTAAACTTCCACCTACTTTATAATAAAATTTGGGGGGGGGGATACTACCCCTGTTTATGTCAGTGGCCTGTCTTCCATCGTGGGCTTAAAATGGGGTTTGTCAGTAGATGGAGCACCAAACTTCTGACCACTATTACTGCCATCTGAGCTATTGTTCAATGTTCCAACTCTATAAAACATATGGAAAAGAATCATCAAAGCCATCTTATTATTTGATTGTCTCAAATAGTGAATGCAAAAACGATGATCTGTACATGTAACCAGCCACCTAACTTGTAATAAAAATAAATTCCATCTTATTAAGTTAAAACTACAAGATCGATTTTCCTCCGAATCTTCATTTCAATGAGAAAGACTGAACTCTAGTCTGTAAATGATAAGGGGAAGGATTAAAGATAGGGTTAGGTTCTGGTCCTGACTCTTTTATCAACTTCCTAAAGTCCTTGGGCAAGTCTCGCAATCATTTTGGACTCAATGAGCCAGAACTGGAAAAAGAACAACGTGATGTACAGGAGTCTAACTTCGTATCTACCCAGGTTTGACTCTTCCTCACACGTCACCTTGTGTTCCTCTCTCCAGTGTCTTCAGTTTTCTGGGTAAAACATGTTATGAGGGTAAAACAATCACACAGACAAATAGTTGATTAAATAGATTCATCTTTATTTTTGTGATTTTTCAGCAGTCATAATAGGGTTTCTTTGAAAGTCAAAAAAGGGAAAAAAATAACCTTCAAAGCAGGAGGTCAAGGGGGATCTAAAACTAGACACACATTTCATACCAAGAAAGCCCCTAAAAGGCAAAATCTCTCCTTCTATAAGCCAGGTAAGCCTCCAAAGTCCGAAAAAGGGTCTTTTAATTTGACTGTGTGAAGTTGTGTTTCGTGAACTTCTATTTGTTCTGATAGAACAGTGGTTCTCAACCTTCCTAATGCCGCGACCCTTTAATATAACTCCTCATGTTGTGGTCACCACCCCCAACCATAAAATTATTTTTGTTGCTACTTCATAACTGTAATTTTGCTACTCTTATAAATCTGGCAGCCCCTGTGAAAGGGTCGCTCCACCCCCAAAGGGGTCGAGCCCCACAGGTTGAAAACTGCTGTGATAGAAGAACCACTCTTCTATTTATTTCTCTTGAGAAAGACATACAAACGATTGCCCCTCTTGTATATAAAGGGTGGTCATAGTACTCACTGGCAAAAACCAAAAACGGTACAAGCAATTTCTCTTACAAAATTAATCTCACTAATAGGTCCTGGGGACAGGACTACAATGTTCCCTTTCAGGGGTAGAAATGGGAGTACAGAGAAGTCACTCTTACGGTGACTTAGAGGCGTTAGAGATGGAGTGTGAGATGAGAATTCCACTCTCGCCTGAGAAGAGCTCATCTGTCAAGCCTCACCAGCATTGCTGCCTGGCAGAATAGGCTTTGTGGTATCGCCACAAAACAGAGTCTTGGGGATGTTGACAACCAAACCAAGGCCAACTGAATCCAGATGTAAAGCAGGCATCAAGTGGCCAAGTTGCAAATATAAACCCTTTATCAGTAGTTAAGGTCTTGTATTTCTGGTACCCAGCCTGAAAGCCTGAAAGTTTGGCATCTCTCACCTGCAATCTGGTGAAGAAAGCAGGAGCCCTACTGACACTGAGGCTACACGTTGGACTGTTGATGGCAAGGCCACCAGTTTGAAGCCAGCCGCTCCTCAGGAGGCAAGAGAATGCTTCTACTCCTGTGGAGTTAGTCTCAGAAACTCACAGGGGCAGTGCTACCTTTTAGCGTCACAATGATTCGGGATCAACCTGATGGCGGTGAGTTTGAGTTTGGGTCACAGGTATAAGGAGTAAAGGTTTCTGTCTTGGCTTTTCTTATCGGGAGGCACTGTACAAGCTTGCTGTGCCCTCTTCTCTGAGCCTCTCTTTTCTCTTCACAGTAATTCCTCACCTATGTGTTTTCACAGGGGGCCGGTGAGACTAAACTAAAACAAATGTAAAGGATTAATTGTGGAGAACCTAATCCAGCAGGCTGGCCTTTTGCATAATTAACAAATCAAGCTGAGATAATGCAATCTTCACAGAAATTCTTACCACGTATTTCTGGCTAATTTTATAATTTAAAATTATAAGTAAAAAATATAACCCATATCCAGGGATCATGGAAAACAAGTGAAACAGCTTACACACAATGAGGTAGGCACCACCATCTCAAAGAAAAATGATTTATACAGCGTATTTTCTTGATATCTGAATGCACATGGTTCAAAATGGTAAGCCAAGGCTTACTGGTCTAAGACCTCTCCCTATAATTATTGTTTTTTCAGTGGTGGTGGGACAAAGTGAGCACCTGTGAAGGTAAGGGCTCCAGAGAGAAATCAAGTGACGATCAGCACCTGCCAACCCACTGCTCACCAACCACCCCCCCTCAAATTATTCTCATGAAATCCCTGTCTCCCTGCCCCCACACCACCACCACTATGCATTGAGCTTTGCTGTATCTGAAGGCCATACAGAATTGTTCACCAAACCAACCCAATAATCAGGTGTATCACATTAAATGTCCCAACTACAATATTTTGCTTTTGAGAGCAGTGGGTGCAATTGGAGTATAGGGCCCCCACGATCGATACAAAAACCTTTTGTTGCCAGTTCCTATAAAAAGCCAACCAATTTCTTCACCTCCTGGTACACAGGGCACGCCAATTCTTTGGCTTTTGCTGACCCAATTTGCAAAACCTTCTCTAAGTGGCCCTTGTCCATCTTCAGCTTTTCGATTTCACCCTTAATTGGGGCGAACTTCTCAATCACAGCCTCCGCCACGGCCAGCTTGTAGCGAGCGGTGTCTAAGCCAGCGCTCTGGCGGACCAC